GAAGAAAATTAACTCTGTCCCAGCCGAAACCAGGACACAGCCAAACGCATAGCACAGTTGCTCACTAGTGGGAAAACGAGGACGTGTTAGCAGAGAGCACACAGGAGTAACTTGCTATGTAGGAAAACTGGTTGTAGGTCTCCTGTACATAGGCAGCTTTCAGTTTCAGATGGTCAGACGCTAATACACAGCAAACAACATATTGCTTAATATATTTGCCCCAGAAAAACAAAAAAGATGCTTTGCCCCTGTGGTTCTGGAACCTGATGCCCAAAAGGGATGGTGAGGCCACTGCGCCACCCTCACCCGTTGCAAATAAAACCTGCCCTGTATGTTCAGCTCCCCAGAGACTAGTGGAAAGGTTTCCTCATCCTCTATTACTTTCTGATTTTAAGTCATTATCTCTCCCCCTCTAATTTGCAACACATTTCCTTCTGACAAAAGCATAGCCAGGCTAAGGAGAAATCCAATCGGATCTTGCAGGGAGAAGCCAAGGTATAATTATACAAAACAGAACTGCTGGAAAACTGCATCCCTCACTATAAACTGAAAACAAGAGGTTGTAACAGTGTGCAAAAGTCTTACACTCGTGGCATAGTACAAGACTGACACTTCCTATGCCTGTCAAGAACGTCCCTATCACCTCCTTTTCTGGTGTAGTAAGTCTCAAGTCCGAAACCCATGTATTTTAAGCCCCTATGACTTGCAAACTGGTGATTGTTATTATTCCAAGCTCAGGGTTCCTTAGGACTGGAGTTGAAAGTCTGAAAAATACAGGCAGCTCTCCCTGTTTCTTTGGGAGTTCATCAGCCTTAATTCACCCAAATCAGATAGGGAACTCCTCATTTGGAGGAAAGAGGCAAATTGAACAGCCTGACTGTAGAGATGTGTTCTGCTACTGGTCTGGCCTAGATGACAAGGATAAACCAAAAGGCAACTTCAATACAACATAAAAGTAAAAATTAAAAAAGAAAAGGAGCCCTCAAAACAATGTCGAGTTCACAAAACCCAAGGGAACTCTGCTCCATCAGACCTACCTCCAGGTTGTAGCAGCTCCATCTTTTGAACAGCTGTAGAGAACTTTATGTAACATTGAGGTTCACAGCTTGCCAGTCAGTGAGCATGGCAGGACAGATACAAAACACACCAAATTGAGTTAGCTATTGCAGACAAACCTGATGAGGAAACAACTTGTTGCTGCTGACATTTCCACAGGGTGCTTCATACTTAGGTATCAGCAAGCATTAGCAGAGAAGGGGGAGGCAGGTGTGGAGAGACACTAAAATCTGTTTTCTCTTCATTTCGTTTTATAGAAAAATCTTTCACATTGCCTCCAACTTATCCATGTGACGGACAGCAATTCAATAGTGGTTTTAGAAGTTTATACAGAAAATATTTCCCTGACCCCAAAAGTCAACATTTGCCCAGTGAAGCATGAGGATTTCTAGTTCCTATGGTTTCTTCATAGCAAGTTCACTATCAACTTGAAAAACACCTGAAATATCCTTGAAGCAAGCAGAGAACTAATGGCATAGCACTATTAGAAAATACAGTGGCTTTTAGTACTTTCTATTCACATGTCAATGGTGAAAACCCACAATACCAGGGAGAGGGTATTTTCCAGGCTGCTTTAAGCAGCAGCCTAAGAAGAGGTTTGCAGGGGAGGGAAGGTGATGAAATGCTACAGAGAACCTTTTCACCCCAGAAATCTGACTGTTTCCTTACAGAACAGGGTAGTTTGGCAACCCAAAGTAAGAGCAAAAGCAAAATTATTTATTTTTATACAGCTTTCAAGAAAACAAGTTAAAATCCTAACTACATTGACTGCAGTGTTCAGGACAGTAGGAGGTTGCCTCCCAAGCTCTCAGAGCTGGTATACCTGCCTCCTTGTCAGCGGGTGAACAGCAGCACCAGCTCACAATGAACAGTATGAGGAAACATATCAAAAGGTATAGCCAACACGGGGGCAAATGGCTCTCCAGCCAGCTTCTTCCCTGGGTCAGGTGGGCAGCACAGCCTGTGGAAAGCAAAGAGAGCATCCTTTAGATCAGTAGCAGAAGCCTTCCCACCATTACTGGTAGCACAATAGCACAGAGGCTGCACTAAGGAGGTATCGTGTTTGGCTAACATCCCTCAGAGCCTGCAGCTGACACTGGCTGAGGTCTGGAGCATCCATACTGAATCCCAAACCAGCTCTGAAAACCTCAGGGACAAGCTGAAGAGTCAGTGGCAGGTTTAAAGCTCCCTTTCTCACAAACCATCCCAGCTGAAAGACACTTAATACCCTTAGGAAATAATCCTCAGTTTTGCACTACCTTCATTGGTTACCTGCAGACAGATTTATCACCTGCAGATGGGCCTGCCCCAGATAAAGACTTAGCTATATGATTAACCCTAAGCAGGTGACTAATCCCCTTGGCTTCACTTCATTGGCTAGGGGACAACCTTCCTGCAGTGAACCCAGTGGACTCTGTATCCCACAGATATCCAGATGTGCTGTTTTGTTGGGGAAGGATACAAATGTCATCATAGCATGTTTGCATTATTTTCTATTCCTTACTGATGCACTAAAGCATCCTGCTGGAACACAAAACCCAAAGAATACCCACTACCTTAAACCAGCAAGTGCAGCTTGCAGGTAAACACAAATTCAGTTGCAACAAAAACTTTCCTAAGCCAAAGTTAGATATTTATGTCCTTGTCTGGACATAATAGGGTCTGTCACTAAGGTCAGTGGAAAGGAAGAGACGAGGGTGCTCACTCAAGAAAGTTCCTCATAGCTTCACCCTCTGGCTTGCAGGAGATGTAGAGCAGCCTTCGGATGGAGTTGCAGTTTCGGATAGCTTGCACAACGCTATAATCTGCAAAAACAGATACTGTGCTTTCCCAGTGACCCACCACAACCATAAGCTCTCCAGAAGGAATGATTGCACTGCAAGCATCACAGAACTGCACTGAACTGTCAAAAATACAGGGGAAAAAAAGAATATACACGTTTTGCCATGTCCTGTCTCGGGTGCAGGCTCTTAGGAGGCTAGGGATGCAACCCACACTGCTAACAGCTTAGCCAATTTGGCAGGGTAGAAGAGTGGGAGAAATCCTTCTGCTTCTAAGGGGGATGAAGGATGAGAGGAAAAATTGCTCCTTAATTAAGCAGAGGCATGTAAAACCTTCCACACACACTTGTGAGACCACATCTGGGCACCAGGACCAGTTTGGGACTTCCCAGTACACACTGGAGCAAGTCCAGTGGAGACCACTAAGACAGTTAGAGGGCTGGGGCATGGCATGCATGAGGAGAGTGTGCGGGCTGGGGTTATTCAGCCTGGGGAAGAGAAGGTGAGCTGGGATCTGTTTCCTATCTTCAGGGGCCTCATGGGGGATTACAGAGAAGATGGAGCCAGGATCTTCTCAGAGGAGCACAAGAAGAGGATAAGAGGCAACACATGCACTGCAGCAAGGGGAAATTCTGATTAAATATATAAGGGAAAATATTTTCAGATGCAGGTATCCACCCGTGGACACATTCAAACCTCAACTGGGCTTTATAGCCATGTGCAACCTTATACTACTCTGAAGTTGGCCTTGCTTTAATTGGGAGATTGCACCACAGACCTGCAGAGGCTCCTTCTTTCCTAAATAATTCTGTGAGCCTATGAAAGATGGAAAAAAAGGTTAGAGCTGCCTGCTTTAAAGAGAAAGCATGATAAAGGCACTGAAAACAGCAGACTCTATGGGATTTTAGCTGCTGTCAGGAACAAGGTAAGAAACTAGAGACTAAGCAAGCAGAGGGTTTGGAGTCAGCATAACAGGTCTCACAGAACTCGTTCAAAATTCCATGTTTTCAACATGAAAATAAATAGCATATTCTCTCACGGAGCCCAGCCCGAGATGGGTTCACCACAGCAACAAGGGGTCTGGTATCCTCCCACGGCGACAGGAGTCGCGGTAACACGGCCTCTGCCTTTCCACTGTGAAACTCACAGTTTGAAATTCCTGTGAAGCAAAAAGCAACCACGTGAACTGAGCAGAGTCAGTCTCACCAGACGTTAGGTGTACATGAAGTACCACCCTTTGCTGTATGGAGGTACCTTGTTAGGATCCCTCCACTCACTTCTGCTTCCGATTTTTCAGCAGTTACTTTGAAACTTTCTGGCACAGCGAGGTTGAACTCACCATTCAATGCTGCATTCCACCTGGCATCCTCTATTGCCTTCTCCACCACCTCAATACCAATAACCTTGGACACCTGGTGAGCCAGGGAGAGACCAATTGTGCCTAGAAACAAGGGATACAAAAATGCTCCGTGCATCCATGCTGAAGACACAAGCTTTTAGATAGTGGGGATCACTTCTGGCATGCAAGGCGCCAGCCCCGGGACCCAGGCTTACACAGCCACTGCTCACCCGTTCCACAGCAGATGTCGAGGAGGACGGTGTCCCCACCAGCTTGACACAGCTCCCCAACTGCCTGGTACAGAACTTCTGCTCCACCCGTGTTTACTTGGAAAAAGGCATCCGGAGAGATGCGAAACTTCAGGCCGAGCACTTCTTCAAAGATATGCGGTTCTCCGTGAAGGAGCTGGAAGGGCGACTGCTCATGGGTGCAGCGGGTCATGGTGCTAGCAGAGCACACAAAACCCAGCTGTTGGAAGGCAGCAGAGAGCCAGCCGATTTCCATTTCCACTCCTGGGGTGCTCATGTGCAGGGGAGGATGGCTCTCCCCCCACCAACTTTTATTTCATGTGAGCTTTTCAACAGGATCAAATCATTTTGATTCTTTGTAGGGCACCTGTAACTTGCACAGCCTAGAATTCATTAAAAGGATCAAAATGACTTTGCAGAAGGCAGCAGTCCTAGGGTCTATCCCCCAGTTTTGCTGCTAATGTGTTTTGCTGTCTTGGGAAAGTCACCATAGCTTTTTCTTTTTTCCTTTAGTTTCCCAGGCTCATAACTCCCATGAGGCAGAGCCATAGCGTATTCAAGGATTTCAGGTCTGGAGAAACAAAAGATGTGGCCATCTTAAAACCATGTCTGCAAGGGAATCCAAACTTCTGTCATTCTCTTCAAGCACTCCCTGAACTGGTAGAATTTGAATTTCATAGAATCATAGAATCAGAGAGGGGGCAGAAGAAGGAAGTGGCTTTGTTTCCACTCTTTACTTGTGTCAAGACATATACCTTTCTTGGAAATAAAGTGAAGTCAAGGCACAGGCTGTTCCAGGACCACACGTGAAGAACTCCTTAAGCAATGCTTTCTGAGTAGCTAGTGCCTCCTGTCAAGAGCAAGAAAGGAAAACCTGGCTAGTTGGGTAATCTGATTAGACACCTCTCCCCAGCAATACCCCCAGCAAGCTCGGGTCAGCCAGATACTGCGTGCCCTCTTGCCAGGGGCCCTGTCCTCCGCGTACTCACCTGGTCCAGCTCCTGGGGGTGGAAGGTGATGATAGCCATGGTGTGGCCATGGCTGGTGGTGCGTACCACAAGCTCCCGCCAGTGTCCGCCTTCATGGAAGAGGATGCAGGGGTCCAGGGGGGAGCGACGGATGAACTCCTCATAGCACTGAGCAGAGGGGGAACAGCACTTGCAGGACAGCGAAGACGACTGCCCTGGTCTTAGGATAACCCTGCGCGCCCCAAACGGGTGGCCCTTCCACCAGTATCATCCATTTTTTCTGTTCAATTTCAATACACTGGATGAAAGCTCTTTCCGAGTTCTTGGAAGACACGACATTTTAATAACGTCAGTTTGTGATTCTTACGTATTTTAATAGGTTGGCAAGAATTCATTATCACTCGATTAGCTTCATTCTCTGGGACAGTTTAGAGGCTGCAACATTAACATGCAAGTTTTAAAAACGTATTTATCCACCAACCAGAGTCAGGCCTGAAACTTCTCAGGACATGAAAATGGACTTTAAAACCCAGCGTAACTAAAATTACAACGTTCTCCCAAATAAGAGTTATGGCAGTCCCTCTATTCCACGGTCTAGGGACAGACATGACTTACTTACCTGGGCTACTTGTTTGTGTTTTGGGGGTATGTTCTCCATGTGGTTGGCTTTCACACAGACAATATTTCTTGCTGGAGAGACACAGACAGGTATTTAACTCTTTTGTGTCAGGGCAGGTAAACCACTGTAGCATCTGACATGATAAACTGTGGAGAGGGCTTTCCCCTGAATTCTCCCACTGTACCAAAAAAAAAAAAAAAACAAACCAAAAAAAACCACCCCAAAAAACCCCAAAAGAAAATAACTGGTATCTAAGTGCCCCATTAAATCCTATGATGTTCTGGGTACCTCTGCAGGACCTGCCAGAATTCCCTTTGCCAGAGATTATTGTCACTAACTTCCATGAAGAGGTTGGAGCTCTGGGAGCTTTGTAGATGTCCTCTAGCAACTCCCAAAGGAACCACTGCACTCTTCTTAAACTAAGGGAGCCAGAGCAGAGCAAGCTGGTTTCCTAACTGGAGAATAATGGTGTGGGCTTACAGCAGCAAAGCAATTTAGCTTGCCTAGAAGACAGCATTCCCACTTCAGTTCAAATGCTAAGCTGCTGTCAGAGGTAAAAATGCACCCATGGAATTATTTTTTCAATGAGAAAAGTACACAGCAACCACCCCAGCACCTCTTGCTACGGATGATTAGAAGCAAAACCCAGTATCAATGGCGTGAACGAGTTCACCACTGAGCAGCTTGCAAGGAGCACACAGCTCACATCTTTGTTGCACAAAACCAAACTGTCTCACGCATGCCAAACGCTCCAATGTCGCTCTGCTGCCTATGGACACGCACACCCCGCCATGCTCTCCCTGCTCAGCACAGGCTCCTGGAGCACACCAAAAAACCACAGGAACAGTATAGTTAAGAATAACAAAGCTAAATCCTGGAGGGGCTGCTACCACAGCTGCCGTCTTTGCTGCTGTATTTAGCAAATTAGAAGCTGGTGTTTCTTTAGAAGCTAATGAACTGAAGTTTTAAAATTGCTGCCCCAGCCTTGGTGGTGTTTCTGTTGGCATCCCCCAGGATTCCGGCTTCTAACTCAGGTGGAGGCTGTCACAGCAGAGCCTTGCCCCAACCCAGCCCCCACCAGCAGTTTTCTACCCAGCTCCTTGTCCTGCGCTGACCTCTGCCAGTTCCCACATACAACCCCACGGTTTTGGGGTTCCCATCCGGTCCTCGATTCACAGAGAAAGTAGATTTGTTTCGGTAGCCATTAATGATGGGCTGAGGGAGGAAAGAAGGAAAAGTAAAGCCCTGGATGAAAAGAAAAAGTAACAGAGGAAAGCCAAAACCCAGCCTGGTTGTCCTGTTGGCAACACAGGAAGATACACATGAACGTGCAAAATGCAGAAGCGGAGCTTGTGCGTGAGACCCCCAGTCCTTCCCCTTGGGAAGGAGAAATGGCTCTCTGTGACAGAATGGTGACAGGTTTATCAGGGAAGGCTTGGGCACAAAAAAGGATTCCTAATCACTGGGCTTGTTTCACACTCTGGCAATCACAGACTGCAAAGCACAAGCTAGCAAGGACTGCCACAAACACATTCTCTGCAACCAACTAATCCCCACCATGAGACTCTTCGGGAGCCAAGTGGGAGACTGTTCGTGGGTCAGGGGGGAGAATGTTCCCACGGGATACTCACCGAAGGGACTACAGGCCGGAGAGGACAGCAGAGCCCGCCAGGTTTCTGCGCATCTATGCCCAGCTCCTCAAGACGAGATGCCAGTGTCTGCAAAACCTTCCTTTGGCTTTCATACTTCACCTGCAGAGGAGCCCTAAGCCAGAAGCTCTCACAGGACCACACGACAGTGGGCAGCTCTTCATCACCCACCTCTGGGAAGGCTAACAGGAGGGAATACTGCAAGTGGGATATAGCCCTAGAGGAACTCTGCCTTTCTCATCACCACAGCCACTTGGAGCAACGGGGAGAGGGAGGAATCCTGTGTCCGTGGTCCCCAAGCACTGGCCTGGAGCGCTTGATCCAACCTGAAGCCCCAGTGAACCAGCTGTCCCGCACTGGACAGAATCACCGTGCACATGCCCATCCTCTGTGCTGTTGGTGATCACACACGCCACCCACGGGGACCCTCCCGGTTCTGTCCTGCACAGTAACTGAAGAATTAAAGCAGCAGTAAATGGTGTCTGAAGAGTTTACAGCATTAAGCGACCAAGATGCTAGGGGCTGTTGCTCAAGGGGGATGGGAAGGACAGTTGGGGCAACACGACAGAGAAAAGTCCACGTAAGCACATCTTACCTGCAGCTGCTCTTGATAGGGAAGTCTCCACAGCGGAGTCACTGCGTTCGCTAACCTGGAAAGCACAACATCGCAGCAGTGCCCAGAGCTACTCGCCTCCTGATACTTATGGCATAACATCCCTGCCAGCTGCTTCATGGGCAGGACCGTTCTGGTATGGGCTCTGCACCAAGGCTGGCTGTGAACATCCAAACTCCCTTTTCATGGCACCTGCCTGGTGCCAAATACTTGGACTGGAAGAGGGACCCAGGAACCACAACAACCAGCTCTCCAGAGGACAGGCTGAGCCTTTGGCAGAAGATTGACCAGCGATGCCTGGGTGTCCTGGGTAAGCCCTGGGTGAGGTCTGACGCTAGGCTGGTAAAGCCAGGGGAATGACTGTGCAAATGTTCCTGGGGTCAGATGGGACAAAAACCCAAAGTGCAGGCAGAGAAGGGCGAGGGGGAAGAGATCATGTCGTAGCTTCAGATGGGCCCTGTTGCTTTCTCCCACTGAATCAGAGGCTTTGGCCATCCCTTGCTGCTGCGAGGACAGCCTGAGTCCTGTCTCCCTGGAGTTTTCCCCTAAAAGAGCAGGATGCTTCTCTCATCACTCGATGCATCATGGATCCTGCATCATCTACCTGCTCTACAGCCACTACTACATCTTTTTTGCTAATGCTGTACTAGATTAAATCCACGACAGTGAAATGCACAGTTTGTGTGTAGCAGGCAGGGAGTTACAGGCTGCCCACTCGCACTGACCCAGCCACCCGTGTAGCAGCAGTTCAGAGATAAACCTCGGGACTTGCCACTACTTGTATCTGAGGCAGGGCAAGCAAGAACAAAACACAGAAAAGCTGATTTTTTTTTTTTTTAAAAAAAAAAAAAAAAAAGACAGAGTAAGGGGTGAGGTGGATAATATGACCCAAACTGTCATAACTATCCATCAACAACTGACTCACCAAGCCCATAGAGAACCTCACCCCACAGCTGGATAAGCTGCTGTTATTGCTTACTGGGATTTTTGGAGCCACTTCCAAAGCGCCCCGTGCCAACTACTTTCAGGCACAGAACTGCAAATCAAATGGACTATTGCTTTTTGGCTTGTACGGCAACTGCTCTGCTCCTGATCCTTTCCTCTTAGACCTTTTTGTTTGTCTTTTCCATTATTCCTGTCCCCAGGCCAAGCTCCAGGGAAGCCAGCTGAGTCCTGGCTCTTCTGTTCCTGCTGGGGAGAGCTGGATGGAGGTGAAGCCCCCAACCCGCTGCTCTCACCGCTTCAGGTGCTTGGTGCTTTGGAAGAGCACTTGGTCATTTTGGAAGAGCCATACCTCTCCTCCCAGGAGGAACCTGGCAGGTTGCAGCCCTCCCTGGCCTTTCTCTTCTTCTTCCACTTCGCTACTGTCGTCTTCTCCGTCAGCAGGCTGCGGTCCCGACCAGGCAGGCTGCTCAGGAAAGCATTCGAAGGGCGAAGCTGCCAGCACAGCAGCCTCAATGCGCTGGACAGAGCCGTGGTAGGAGGAAGAGGGGCCGCACCCCTGCAAGCAGCACAGCGAGCCCACCCTCGGCCTCCCAAAAAGCAGCACGTCAGCTGCACTCCTGGAGGTGGGTTGAGAAACACCATGCTCATGGCCAGCTCCACTCCACGAAGTAAACCACTTAGTTTAAAAACACCCACGGCCGGTCTGACCCAGTGGCTGCATTTTTACTTTGCTCAGGGCTGCCAGACAGCACTTGCAGCACAGCGAGCGCGCCTGCCCTGCGCCACACAGGAAGCACGGAGGGAACAGACAGCTAAAAGCAGAGTTTCTTTCCTCCGCTGCAGGTGACCAGCCTCTGGCAGCCAGTGCGCCGGAGCTCAGTTAGCGGCGCCCACTGCCAGTCCTGCTTGCCTTGGGCCCTGCCGGTGCTTTCATAGCTCAGGTCTTATCTCGCATGATGAAAAGCTCGCTCCTTCCGCTCGCTGCCAATTGCCTCCCTGGGCGTTCGGGTCTCACGTGGCAGGATGCAGCGGGCTGCGTTTCCGCTGCCCTGTGTGGTGTTTACAGCTGAGAAACCTCCCCAGGCCGGGGAGCTCCCTGCCGTGCTGCAAGGCAGCCAAGACCCCTGCCAGGGAGCCAGGGCCAGCTCCCCCCAGCCCACTGGCACTTCTGCTCGGTGCCGAGTCCCACCGTGCCGCAGGGGCCCCTGCCTTACCTCCTGGTGCAGCGCCCCAGCAGCACTGCTGCAGGCTCCCAGCCCTGCGCTTTCCAGGTCCGGCAGCAGCAATAGGGCGGTTGTGGTGCCCGACCCGCTCCCCTCGCCACCCCGGGGCACTGAGCCATGCCCAGAGCACGCCAGCTTCGTGCTCGTGGTGAGGAGCCCTGGCACACCCCGGGGTCACGGCACCGCACGCCGCAGCCCTTAGCGCATGCACAACTGCGCCATGTCCAGGCAGCTCCGCGGCAGTCCGGCACCCAGGAGCACCTCTCCTCGGGGAATGCTGCGGAGGACACCAGCAGCCACGCAGGCTGCGAGACCACCCCGCGGAGCAGGACGAGGGGGCTCCTGCTGATGCCCGCACGCCCAGGCGGCATCAGTCAGTACCACCGCAACTCACCCCAAATGGCCTCTGCCCATTTAGGCACCTGAAACAAAGACGGCAGCAGCGGGTGCGATCAGGCTCCGATCAGTCCTGTCCCAGGATTTAAGTGTCTCGGAGAGTTCTGCAGAAGAGCGGGCCTGTAGCTCCCGGGACCGTGGGAGAAGGAAACTGCCCCGGGACACCCCCCGCTCAGACCCCAGAGCCTCTCCCAGGGTCCTGCTGGCAGACAAGGCTGCGCAGCAGAGCTCGCCTGCTCGGTTTTGCTGGCACAAATTACCATTATTGTAGTTACGGTCACTCTTCCGACCCGGTGCCTCGAGGAAGGTTCTCAACAGTGACCAAAAGTTATCTGTACGCAGTTTTTAAGTGTTCTGATTTCAGATCATCTAGGCATCTTACAGACATGCCTCGTCCAGGAATTAACTCCACACAGCTACCGCTCTAGCCTCTAAGAAGTTAGGGTAGAACAGTTGCTTTTTTTGGATGACCGCCACATAATATTCTAGTAACAGTTTCATCTGCTTTAATTGAAGAGGAGAGGGTCATTAAGTACTTTTGATGCATGGATTTTTATTTTTGCTTCACGGCATGGCACATCCAGAGCTAACTTAGCTAACTTAACCATAAAGTAACATTGACTTGTGAATTAAGCATTTATCAACTCCAATTTTATCTAGGCAAAAAAAGCTTTGTGGTCGTGGACTCTTCTTAAATATTGCGGGAATGAATGTTTGCCTTTCAGCTAGGAAAACCACAAGTTCCTACTTATTGAACTGTGGGACCTGAAAAGCATTTGAAAAAACCTGCTGTCTCTAGACCCAAGCATTAAAACCAGAAGCACATGTAATACCACTGTTGTGCCAGAATTACCTCTTGCCTCTGCCTTCTCTCCCAGGCGTGCAAACGGGATTGCTCTCTCACACAAAGCCCCAGCCTCCCGCGGGGTCTCTGGGGAGCATTTGCTGCAAGCATTTGTTTCGTTTACCATTAGCCGGGTGTACTAGAATCGCTCTTTATTTACGTGACACGCACAATTATTTGGGGACCACCAGGGCGTCTCTGGCTTCCAGAACAAAGCGTCCCCTTCTTGAGATTGCATCTTAACGCTGCAGAAATTTGGCTAGGCCTCTAGGCAACAGCTGGGTGCACCAAAGACACTGGGTTCCTTTCCTTTCTGATCTAAAGGCTAGCCGCCTTTACCTAAATACCGGAAAAAGTCCCAGTGAGCAGAAAGCCAGAGGCAGAAGTGCCCAATAGCAGGCCGGAACAGCAGCCAAAGAGAACCGAGCAAACGGTCCATTCCAGTTAAGTCATCCACCTCCACCACTGATTTCCTTCCTAATGACCCTCAGCTCTAGTGGATTTGCCATCTTGCAGCCTCAGTTCTCCAGGCTACCAGCTGTTCTACAGAAAACGTAGTCAGGCCACCACCACCGCTCCCCAGGCAACCACTTGCAGGTCAGCGACCAACTCCTTTTGTCCGCCACAAGAGCCAAACGCATGGCTTCACGTTGCCTGCAGCGTCTAATGGTTGGGGGGAGGTTTTGGGGGTGTGTGTGGGGTGGCCGTGGGGAATCTGATTTTACTGAGGTTTTTCTTAAAAAAGCAACTCCAGCAACATCTGATTCCTAGATGTGCAAACCCTGCAGCACACGCACCCCAGGTGATATTCTCCTAGCAAGTTTTCCTGGCCGCAAAGTGCGGCCAGCTCTTTAAGGAACAGCCTGGTTCTGCCTCGAATCGGCCTTTCGGCTTTGGGATTACACTTTTTCAAGCACGACAACTTCCAGTACGTACAGCGAGTAGTTTACTACGACACAAGACAAATGAGTAGATGAGCACGTTTGCTCATCGGTCACTCCGTGCTTCTGTTACAGAACT